ACTGTTGATGCTTGACTTTTTATTTTTAATTATCAAGGTGAATGAAACATCTGCTATTGTGTTACTATACAGAGTAAAGAACTTCCTATTGTTTATTATCTTTCAGAGATTTTATAATAAGACCTATTTTTATTACCGATTCAATGTTCATTAATGTTAATTCGAAGTAAACCTGGCGGCCTGATTAAACATCTGGGCTACCTGTTACTGCCGTTTAGATATTTCAAAAAATTATCCAGTCTTTTTTGTTTCAATACATCATTATGGCTATTAATCGCATAACCTATTCAGGTGCATTCCTGAAAAGTGTAAAACCATTCGTTGTACACGTTACAAAAGGCCCAATGAGAGATTTCGTGGTTGCTGACAGTATGCAGCAAAAATAATGTACATTATTTAGATGTCAATTTATTGGACTGTTAACTTCTAACTAGCGACCACTCAATATTTTTCGTCTGGATGGACCCAGAAGTGAGAAATAGAAGCTTGTTGAAATACTTTGTGCTGAGAATTCTATATTGTACCAAAAAGATAATATTGAATAAAGCCACTAATAATAATATCTAAGTATAAATAAGTTATATGATCTACAATATGTTATAATTCTATTCTAAAGGTTAGGTCATTTAAAACTATACAGTACTATTAATTCGAGATTTTTGTTGTTAACGAATTTCATAGAGATTCTCTAGGATCATTGATTTAATTTGGACAGCATTGTAAATAAACTTCCAATACGATTATTTCACATCTTATCCTAAGAATTTACACTGTCGGACTTTGAATAGAAATTTTCAAAGCTTATTATATAATAAAGCTTATTGATTCGGATAATAGAATGACTTAGGATTCAATGTATTTGAAAACTTTTCAGAAAAGAAATTGTCTGCATATATAAATGAAATTGCCATATGGCGATTCTGTAATATTTATAACTGAATAATCATTCAATATACAAAGAGAATTTAGTTTATGTAATAGTAAAATCAAAACTGCTGTTTTATCCGATTTTCGCGATAAAAATTAAAGTATTAAATACTGAATGAGTAAACTAAAAGAAGAAATATTCCGATTAACCAGAAATATAAATTACTACTACTCCATATTGTACAATCGTCCTGTCTTAAATGTTACAGAGGAAGGTAAATTATTTAGACTTTCCCCCTTCTATGTGCATTTGTTAAGTTACCAACCTTTGAATGGAATACTATATCGTTTCATTGACGAGTTCCGAAACACCACACTTTACAGTTAGGAAGCTTAAACTTATGTATAACTAAGCGATTTCACGTGTTCATTTATTAGACAATATTTAACAGATATCATTCAGTTAGTCGCATATGTTTATTACATACTAATACAATCATAAGGAATAAAGCGGCTGAACCAAGTTGTTACGTAAAAAATATATTTATTTACCCATTGTCATCTCCTTAAATATCAAGAAGGATTGATCATTCAAGTGAACAGCTTATTTAACTAATCAGATGGATTGACAAATTGATTTTTATTAGTGTTAGAGGTTTCTTTTCTCATTTCTCCGCTTTTATATAACTATTAGTAATATAACTATTTTTTTCTTTATACTTACTCAGCTATTGTTAATATGTAGCCACTTAACAAAGTTTTGTGACCCTTTTACCAATTTATTTGAATAAAAACTTAACACATCATAATAATTGTATTCATCAAAACCTTTCAATTTTTTTTCCTTGACTAATTATGGCAATTTTCATCAGTAATTCACTCTAATTATTGATTTTCATAAGAACTACTTGAAGTAAAGATGTGACTATTTTCTTCATCATTTATATGCCTTTCGTTTGCATACTTTATAAAGAAAATAGAGACTTATTGATATCTTATGATATATCTCTGTTTGTACACAACTTATTAAAATATCTTGATATCTAAATGACCGCGAATCAACTTTGTCACTAACCAATAATCTTACATTTTAAACTGATTTATTAAAACAAAGTTTTCACCGAAGACTTTGTGAAAGTCAAATCGGTTACGTTTATATTACAACCAAATTAGTAAAGTCCCGGAAGCTAATGTGTGAGTTTCAATATAAATATCGAAACTTGGCAAATAATATACTTGTGATAAATTAAAAAGTCAAATAGAATATTAAATAAGAGAAAAGAATTTCAGAAGACTGCGTTCCATGACTTTATCTCGAATCTGCTTTACATAGTGCCTAAATAGTGTTTATAAATTTGAAATTCCCTTTTGGTTATAGGAATTTAATTTACTTTTGTTAGAAGCATTTTTATAATCTTGTAACTACAACTCAAAGTTATAAAATTATTTCATCCAGCAAATGAACCAGAAGGTTTGTCATTAGTTATACTTGTCGAAGTATATGAGACCGAAGTTAAACAATCACATAGAGGTAAAGTTATACTCAATCGTCATTTTGTGGACCTATAGATAATATCTGGAAACATTAAATTTTGACCTACTTAGAACTTAAGGACTGAGACAGTTGTCACCAATAGCAGTGGGTGGTTACGTGACGTCACAAATTGATTAAAGCTGGAATCGTGCCATTGGACACCGATTTAGTGGTTCTAACGCTTAAGCATTCGAAACAAGAACTAAAGGTCTTGGTTTTTATCTTAAGAAGGGGCATGAGTAAACGCTTCTGAAAAGTTCCGTATTAAAAGGAAGTAATTTTCCAGTGTTCCTTGGCTTTCAATGAAACGCTAGATGAAATCAATCTGTAACTAATACAATCTATTAATATATATTGAATGTACCTGTAAGGGCTGGCGAATACTAAGGGAAATTATAAAAGTGGAACTCTAGAGTGTATGAATTTCTGCATAATTAACAAAGAATATTTCCAGTTTATGAATAGTTTTACGCACTAAGTGTAAGCGTAATTTTCATTGTTTACTAGAAATAATTATATCACAACAAAAAAATGAGAGGTTGGGAACTAGTTCGGTGGTCAAAAAAGTAAGAGACTGTATAGTCGTTTTTTGAATGGAAAGATTAAGTTTACTTAGATAAATTCTTATGGTTTTCGTTGAGTACATGGCAAAATTTGATGATATAGGAGTTAGATGGAGTACTACATACTACATTTGCATCAACTTGATGGATTATATTAACTGTATCCGTTTAACTTATATTTTGATGATGATGATGACTTGGATATAGAGGTTTATATACCTAGTCTTTTAGGACATAACATACAATATTTCATGAAATAAAGTAAATTATTTTCTATCATAGTTACTCATTTACTCATGCACCTAATGTGAACAGAATAAAATATTTATTCAATTTCCAAGGCCAATTATATAGCCTGATGTAGACATTCAGATGATGTTTTACCAAAGCGGATACTTAGGCCTCATTTTCTTTCTGCACAACTTTATACTTTAAATGTTAGACTATTTTTCCACTAAGCTTTTCATCACAGAAAGTGTTACATGAATAAATTGTGACATTTGTGATATAAACAGGCAGTATTGAAAATGATAGTGCATAGCTAACTTCAAAGTTAAAGGATCTATGAACACATTATCGATTTGGAATAAAAACACAAAGTGGATTTCATCATCGTAGATAAGAACAGCTGAATATGTATCTGATTGTCTAAAATGTTTATGACAAACATTTGTCCAATGTGAAATCTCTCACATAAAATTTGAGCAAGGATATGAGATCTTTAACTGATGATACATGGCTAGACTGATCTATCATGTGACTGCAACCGTAGTCAGGTAATCCTATCTTTACTGCATCTAGGATGTTACAAACTGCACTGAAGTATAGTTACTAATCTAGCTGACTCGGTATCCCAGTCATAATACCTCAGTAATAACGTCTCTTGATATGGCACGGAGAAATAAACGTTCAAATCTCATAACAATTGCATTCCCCTCAAAATACTAGATATATCCTACAAGTACGTGATAATCAACACAATCAGGGTTCAGAGTTTCATGTTAGTTATTTTAAACCCCTAAACTTTATTCAAATTATCAGTGTATTCATGGATAAAGGACAGTTGTTAAATCATGAAACTAGCTCTTTAATTTTACTAATAACCATTATAAAAAGCACAAAATATTTTTTTATACTTCAATATACGTAAACGTCATCGAAATGTTTACATAAGTATGTTAAGATAGATGGGTAATGAGTATTTTTTTTAAGAAAAAGATGGGAAAATACGATACTTAGGTTTGATCAGTAATTAACTCTACATTTGTCATAAAAGTATACATTCCCTGAAGTTATTCAGTAAACAATTCTAAAACTAGAATCAAATTTCAATTTTTATTCCTGCTAGAATTCGAATGAAAGCTGTAAGCTGATTTGAAATTTGAATTATTCAATTACTTTAACAAAAAAAATTATGCTTTTGTTTCTAAGTACATGTCGTTCACTTTACAGCACAAGTATCGCATATTATAAACACTGGGAATTTGATGATTTTAGCTGAAAACAATATGTATTCAAGAGATAAAGACAAACAGTAAGCTTGTTTATTATTATGCATATCTGTGTAGAACTTTTGCACCATGGAAAGATCAAACACTTAATCATACTGATATAAAAACGGCCTCGATTCATTGATAAGAAAATGATTGAACAAGTAAATATATTTTCAAAGTGTACAGAGATCATTATATCATTATAATTATGAATATACCAAATGTTACTCCTATGCAATATAAAGTATTACAAAAATCAGAAGGGGTTTGTGGAGATTTTAGAAATTTCACAGACTGAAATCATGAGTCAGTTGAAGCTAGACCACCATGGGAAACCTGGAAACACTGGACGGCCGTTTCGTCCTAGTATGGGATTCCTCAGCAGTGCGCATTCACGCCCCCGCACCCCGCGGGATTCGAACCCAGGACCTATCAGTCTTATTTTACTTATGTGAACCTAAAATAGCACCACATCATAATCAGAATAATAATAAATTTAAGTTGAATTATTGACAGTTATATGATTAAAATTGGTCAACTTACTTTGATTGATTAAAAATCTCCACACAAAACTTTGATTGTTTTCACTAAAGTACTATGTGATTGTTGATGTTAATAGAGCCGGATGTTATTCATTTTTATTATTCGTTAAACCAAATGAAATACGATAGATATTATTATTATTATTATTATTATTATTATTGTTATTATTATTATTAGCAATTCTAGGCTAATGTAACCATTAAATTCACAATCTGTAACCATACATTATAGTTTCATTTTAATTGTCATTTTTAAAAAGACATATCAATTAAATGTTTCAATTGCCAATTCAAACAACTACTCAACTTGGTTTTTCTTGCTTTTTCAATGGAAAATATAAGATGATTTCATTAAGCTTGTTTTCATTATTGTTTAGAAAAAATTAGTTGACATAAATAGTGTTTCATGCGACATGTTAGAATGTGTATGATCACGGTGATATTGATGTTGTAACCGATAATGTTAATGATGATTAGATTTCCTTTTTTTAAAAAAAAAGAATTAATTTTCAGGTAAAAATAATAATGCTATAGACTCAAGAGATAACTTAATTAGATAGTCAAATGAAAATAGTTTTGTTATATTCTAATAGTATTTAATTATGTATATGTATGTTTGTCAGGAAGGATATTTTTCGTCTTTTGTAAAACGATAAGTAGACATGTATTTGGGACTGAATAGTCTATCTATATATCTATGTAACACTAATATATTTAGACATTTTTTAATAATATGTATATTAAAAATTCTGAGACATTTAGGGCAAATTATTTTTCTTACTATTTTCGTTATACCTATTCGTTTATTTCTAATCTTTTTATTATTATTATTATTAGCAACGATAGTGATAATATTACTGTTATCCATTTATGTATACGATACTGAAGAATTACAGACATGTTTTAGATTAGTTGTCACATAAGTAAGTTACTGCGTGGGATTTATTATTTAAGCTTTTTATTTAAAGAATTTCATTTGAATTGTTCTCTACTTATGCACATTACTAACTTTCATATATCTCTTTATCATGTGTACACACATGGTATTATATCTGTCTATCTTGTTAGCGTATAGAATTCGTTGTAGTTGGTTAATTTATTACTTTATTTACTAACCAACAAATGAACTAACTGCCTACCTTCTCAAACTCCGATTCCTATATTATTGCAATAATATTTCTTTTTAAACAACTGTTTACCATTAAAACAATCATAATATGCATAATAAATGTTAATCATATAAACCAAAAGGAAGATAAGTAAACTAACACCAGGGTCAGCTTGTAGAAATAATAATATAAAACAATTATTAAAAATTATAATAAGCAAATCATAATAACACTACCAAGCCTGTAACTATGAAAACTTTCAATAATATTACACATAATATATAAAAAGCATTAGTGTAATATTAGTTGAACAAAAGTAAGAAAAAAAGATCATAAGTAAGAGATCCAGTAAATTACAAATATGGTTTCCATCATATTACTTAGAGAGTTTTCATATGAAAACCTGAATAAAATTGATGTCAAATGTTTATTATCATTTTCTATGGAATACTTCGGATAAACATAACTTATCTCAATACTATTATCTAAGTAAACGATCGATGAAATCATAATATATTTGTAATATCCACAATGATTTGAAAAATTTAATTTTTTTAATTTTCTAAAGTTGCGTGGCTTCTTCAGAGAATAAACAAACAAATTAACTTAACCCATATTTAAATAGTACAAAGGTACAAAGCAAAAATATTTAGTACGATCAATAAAAAATCAGGTCTGACGAAGTCCATGTCATGTCATTCCAGTCAAGGTGATTTATGTAAGACATGTTTGTATAGTTGTGCGTGTATGTATCTTAAGAGATAAAAATTGTGACATTTGTGGTGCAAATATGAAAAAAAGTAAACGGTGGATAATCAGTTTCGTGAATGTTGTTCTTAGATATGCAATATTACTAGTCATTCGATGAATTGAGGAATTTCAAAAAGCATCTATTCCGACTAGATAATCGGAGTTTAGATAAAACAAAAAGAAGCGTAACTTAAATCAACGATCTCGGCCAGATGGCAGTTGTTAAACAGATCGAAATTGACAGTTGTTTATTTCTAGTACAGAACTCTAGGAGTACACACTCATGACCGTGTCAAGGGCCGAACATGAGACCTTTGTGAGAATGTTACCTTCAGACGACTATGTTGGTATAATTGGTACATACTTATATGTTCAATCAATTTACAATCATATGCAACTGCTGTCCACTGCTAAATATGATGTTTAGGACTGCAGTCTCTGATCAGTCTCTTATTGGCATATGTGCATCTTGTGAGTATTGTCTCGATATAGCCTTAATTTACAAGCATTATTGGCAAAAATAGACAGTGGCTAGCAATCGAATGCAGGACGCCCGTTTTGTCCTATTCGGGACTCGTCAGCTGGATGTATCAACACCCTAGGTTTGATTTTCACACTGACATGACATTGACTTCGTCAGACCTGACTTTTTATTGATCGTACTAAATATTTTTGCCTTGTACCTTTGTACTATTTAAATATGGGTTAAGTTAATTTGTTTGTTTATTTTCTGAAGACGTCACGCAACTTTATAGAGAATTTAAAAATTTAATTTTTCAAATCATTGTGGGTATTACAAATATATTATTTTTAATAATGACAATTTACCCAATGCTCAATTTATTTGAAATTATCAAGTCAAACCTTGGTAATTGCACCAATAATCAATAAAATCTTTTTAATTACATCCTACGTCCTGGCATCATTAAACATTTTGCATGGTTTGTTATTGTAATTATTTCATCTTTTAAGCTCTGTTGACTGATAATAATAATTTCCGTTATTATTGTTAGCTTAAGACGGTTTATAAGATAACCATATTAGATAGGTAATGTAATGTTTATGCACATGTCAAAACTTAAATTTTGGATTATTTTAAATGAAATAGTGAATTGTTTTCAGCACAGTGTATCCTATTCAAAACTGAATCCTACCAAGAATTATTATCAATTATAATAGATGGAAATCATGAAACTGGTTAACATAAACAAATCTCATTTCGGGACAAAAGTGATATATCTAAGTCCTTCATCTTAATTCTATTCAATATACTACTTAAAAATTAGAAATATAAAGTTCTACCGAATTTTCACACTCCTATATCTATGTTCTTCAGATATATACATATTTTTCCGCATTGTCTAACGCCCAATCATTCGATGAATGTCAATACACGATATTAACATGTTTTTAGATAATTGACTTGCTTAAATTGAATGTTTATGAGATTTTTTTTTATAAAACAAAATTGAAAAAAAAACCCAGAATATTTGAAATTCTGAAATATAACAAGGTACATTATCAGAGTTGTTAAGTGTTTTCGTGCATGGAAATATTTTGAATATTCATACGCAATTATATTTATGTATTTTATTATTGAAACTCATATGTTCTGATAAAATCAGTCAATTTTCGTTCCTATGTATTATACCTCTTATTGATTGAAAATCAATATTCTAATAACAGGGAATGAATAATCCATTTATTAGATTATCAATAAGGTTTGTTAACTTGTTGTTTCGTTAAAAAAAAAGAAATTTCTCACATCTACTCAAGCTTTCCTATATCATTTAATTTTCATTGTTTATTCACATAGCATCAATGATTTCTTGATAATTATTCACAAAATATAACTTGTTTAGATAACAGTTTAGAGAACCGATTTCTATGTAAAAATGAATTAAATAGTTGTCAATGTTTATTTATCAACTTCTCTACACAGATTTTGTGTACATTCAATTTTTTTTTAGAAACGGGGGGATTTTGGTTAAATCTCTTCTATGCTTTATCATCTAGTATATTAACTTTCACAATTTAGACATATATACTTTTTAACTTAAAAAAATGAAACAACCATTCTGACCCAATTATTTAAACTAAAATTTGTCATTTTAAGCAAAGATAGATAAGTGGCTAGTAGTGAACATCAAATTTGGGGTGCAGGTACATTTAACTGACAAGTCCCAAATGAGACGAAACGCGCGTCTTGCCTTGTATAAAGCTGATATCTGAACTAAGAAAAATAAAAGATACTGTTTATAGGAAAGCGGATTTAACGTGATTAGATGATTCGAAAGACTGGTACACGCTGATATTTAAATGAAGATAGCTGCACACGTATAAAAATGGAGACGTTGTTTAGAAAGAGTACTTATATACCGCACTCACACAATGAAATATTTAAATACCTTTATATATGCGAGATTATACGAGACGAAGCAACCAACAAGAACATGTGTTAATAACATAACATTGCCATATCATGGTAACATAGAAATGCGAATAAACATAAAAAAGGTCGTTGTTGCAGTGACCTCAACAAGTCATAGTAATGATTTTAACGAATTCCAACACCATTCCAGCATCATTGTTTTCAAATAATTAGCCGGTAAGATTTTAAAACTACTAGGTCTTACTAGTCGAGGAATTGTGTTCTATGCTATAGAATAATTATGCAAATACGTTGAATATATGTATTTTGAACATTGTTAAAATTATGTTATTGTTTCCAAAACTCTAATCTACTAATTTTACTGGGTTAAACTAACATAAATTCACCGTGAAAAATGGTTAAAATAATACCCTCCATCATGAAGATGGTTCTCTCTTCCCATTGAGCTTCATTCGTGCGAAGTTAAGAATGAGTAAGCAAACGAGCTTTGATGAAAATTTCAACCCCAAGGTAAGACATGATAAAAACAATAGATGTTCACATCAACTGTTTGTATGAGGACCGTTAGATTCATAAAGATAAACTGGAAGGGATTACACAAACCTTTTTCAAATAAGCAGTATAAATATTGCGCATTAATAAGTAAATGGTAATTACAGTTTAATATGTCAAAACAGAGACCATATGAAAACTTGGGAAATAGAAGTAGAAATTTTTTCTCATTACAGAATTACATTTTTGGTTAAGTAAGCCCCCGTTATAATTATAACTATGCTGCGGTAAGAAAATCAGCTGATGTGGTTTTCATCAGCAAGAGAAAAGTATTGTAACTCCTAGTAAAGTTAACACGTATCTTTTGTTACTATAGTTATCATTCAAAACTGTGTACGATTCATAAACAATGTAAGTGGATTCACCGACACTAACCACATAGAAACATAAATTGTAATGTCGAAAGTCCCACGACTGAAATCGGTTCGTTATAATTAGCAAACAAAATAATCAGTTAAGCTCAAAAAACATAAATGAGTACTTATTACTTAGTGTTCTTTTGTTGTTTTGTTGTCTGAGATAATGTTCCATGAGCTGTTTTATAATAAACACTGTTCTATGGTTTTAGATGGGAGAATTTTTCACACAGAGGAATTATGTAAATTAGTACACTTTTAAGAGGTTGTAATGACTTTCAAGCCTATTGAAATATTAAATGTATGAAATACAGATCATAATCAGCAGTCTTTTGGTGTTGCATTCAAATTTTCTACAGAGCTAAATTTCAAGATTTTATTGTGTTTTATTTGTAATGAGATTCACATTCAGAAATGACTGGGCAC